TCAGTGGCTGAACCTTTTCAGTGGCTGAACCTTTTCAGTGGCTGAACCTTTTCAGTGGCTGAACCTTTTCAGTGTCTGAACCTTTTCAGTGGCTGAATCTTTTCAGTGTCTGAACCTTTTCAGTGGCTGAATCTTTTCTTTAGCAACTGGCAAGTCTTTGCCAGTTGCTAAAGAAAAGTGACAGCATTGTTGAGCGACTCAACCAGCCCTGTTGTTGTTGTTGGTGGTAGTAATGGTGGTAATGGTGGTGGTGGAGGCCTACAGCGGCGCCTGGCGTCTTGTTTGACCTGCCAGATTATTATGGTGGGCCTCTTCCACGGTAGTGCCGCTCACTCACTACCTTGACATCTTCTCTATCACTTCGACAGTTCTGTCGAAGTGACAGTTCAGTTTCACACTTAATTAGTCTGACAATTGATTATTTAACAGGTTATTAATTTGTCTATTATAAATTGATACATGGTGTCTTCTTTTGATGCACATTTAATACAGGGTAATTAGTGATATTAAAGCCGAGGTATTCTTGAGAGAGAGAGAGAGAGAGAGAGAGAGAGAGAGAGAGAGAGAGAGAGAGAGAGAGAGAGAGAGAGAGAGAGGAGTGTGGCCGCCCCTGCCTGGGGGTCGAACCCTCTGAGGTGGTCAGAGTTCTTGCTTGTAGTACTTATTGACTTGATTATTGGTTTGATCGGGAATTATTAGTGCTGGAGTTGGCCAGGGATTGTATAGGAGATCTGCCGTTGATGATACTGTCTGACACATCACTGCCACATTGTCTAACACACAGCAACATTGTCTAACACATTGTCTACAATACTTGCCACTACCTCACCCCCCCTCCAGTATATGCAACTGCGTTAAGAGTTCAGTCCCATATATTATCATCCGAGGAGACCTTAAATCTTCCAAGTTGGAGATGTCGTTTAGTAAGATGATACAACATCCGTCAAGATGTAGTCCGGACGAACAAGCACCCATCACAGAGCTAACGAGACTTGAGACAAGCTCCCAACAAGCCAAGAGGTGACTGAGCCACCTGGAGATGGTGACACCATCCATCTGAGCTCCACGAATAATGAAGACCTAATCCGGGACATGACAGTCCCAAATATAACACTCTAACCACAACCTCACTGAAGTAACAGCAAACATAACGTCATATAATGTGCCTAAAGCACATCTACAGCAAGACGGAGCATTTAATAAACTTAATTTTAACAATTTCGGCCTCTGACTGGGAACACAATTAACCGTGAATTATCCTGCAATTGTATCTCATTGTATGAGATATTAAATACAGAAGCATAAAAGCTTTGCATATGATATGTCCCTCTGAGAAAGATAACAAAAATGTCTAACATAGAGAACACAGAGGACTTTATAAGACAAGAAAGGTTACAGAAATGTTGAAGTGACAGCAAATATGCCCGAGGAAAGAGAGCAAACCTTCCAAAGATTCTTGGAATTAATTGTGTATAAAGAAGTGGCATATTAACACAAAAGGTTGAAGATGGGTGACATCTCGCAGACACAGGAGACTGCAGACACCTGTCCCCCTTCACGAGGGAGGTTATCTTATCTTGAGGTTATCTTGAGATGATTTCGGGGCTTTAGTGTCCCCGCGGCCCGGTCCTCGACCAGGCCTCCATCCCCAAGAAGCAGCCCGTGACAGCTGACTAACACCCAGGTACCTATTTTATTGCTAGGTAACAGGGGCATAGGGTGAAAGAAACTTTGCCCATTGTTTCTCGCCGGCGCCCGGGATCGAACCCGGGACCACAGGATCACAAGTCCAGCGTGCTGTCCGCTCGGCTGACCGGCTCCCCAGTGAAGCTTGGTGAGAAACGGCAGACCGGTAGCATTGACAACACACGTGATTCAGGTTTTTGAGAGGGAGCTGAGAAACCAACTTACCAGATTTATCAGGAAAGAACAAGCTTTATAACCAGGTGAACAAGGTGTTAATCAGGAAGAACATGCCTTTGGAACTTCTTTATCGCTACAACAAAATCGTGGAGGTTATCTTACAAGCAAGCAAACCAAAATGCATTTTTTTTGTCAAAAAAAACATATGATAAATGTAGCCAGAAAGTGACTGCTCATGGAATATAGTCTAAGGGAATGATAAGTAGAGAGAGCGGGGCCTTAAAGTTTCTAACAGATTACAAAGCGACAATAAATTAAGCAAAATCCAGCTTGAGAACAATACGACGCTCGTCCTCATAAGATACGGTTCTCACAGTGTTCCTTTATCTCATCTTTGTTGAAGACACGGAGACACTCCCCACACTCCATGTCATCCTTCGCTCACCATACAAACATCGACATGAAAACTGCATCGGAGAGAGAGAGAGAGAGACAGAGACAGAGAGAGACAGAGAGACAGAGAGACAGAGAGAGACAGAGACAGAGACAGAGACAGAGACAGAGACAGACAGAGACAGACAGAGACAGACAGAGACAGACAGAGACAGACAGAGACAGAGAGAGAGAGAGAGAGAGAGAGAGAGAGAGAGAGAGAACAATGGCGGTCAGGACTTATAATGTGCAGGGAAAAAACGACATCATGTTGAGCGGTAAGAAATTTTAATGATTTTCGTACAAGTACAGTGATCTTAAATACAGGATACAAAACGTAGTTTAATCGCTTCCCTGAACCGGACACTCAGTCAGAAGTACAGGACTAATATTGTCAGACGCCTCAACGTTTAGAGACCATCGACTTGAGAATGGTCCAGGACGGACAGAAACGTCGTCGTCCCTTCACCTTCTAGTGTGTGGTCTGGTCAACATACTTTAGCCACGTTATTGTGACTCATCGCCTCAACGTTTAGAGACCAAAATAAAGTACACGCAGAAACCGGTAAAATGGTAGGGTTGATAATATCAAGAAACAGCTAAGCCATCATGACTATGTAGGATATGAGGACTGGAAGAGAGAAACGTGCCCAACCACTTGCATTATCAGGACTCGAACGTCGTCCCTTGCAAGAAGCGTGGTCGTCGCTTTCTCAAGTGGATGGGTAATGCTCTACAAAGCTCCGGTGATCTCATGTATGGAATGCTGTTTTGTGTTCACAGCCCGTGTCAAGGAGAGAGAATTATCCGCTCAACGAAATATACAGTGAACCTTTGCAGGTCGCAAGACTCAGTCAAGCCGTTAAACTGCCTCGGTGCGCGCTGAACGCCTGGGGCCAGATTCACGAAGCAGTTACGCACGCACTTACGAACGTGTACATCTTTCCTCAATCTTTGACGGCTTTGGTTACATTTATTAAACAGTTTACAAGCATGAAAACTTTCCAATTAACTGTTGTTATTGTTATAAACAGCCTCCTGGTGCTTCGGAGCTCATTAACTGTTTAATAATTGTAAACAAAGCCGCCAAAGATTGAGAAAAGATGTACAGGCTCGTAAGTGCTTGCGTAACTGCTTCGTGAATCTGGCCCCAGGACACGAAGGAAGAGAGACGAGATATTTCACAATAGACATAAATACTGGAAGGTCGGGCTGAAAGCCTGCATAATAACATTACAACATCCTGGAGCGAGAGAGATGGTGAGAAATGTGGAATAAACCTTCTCCCTGGACTGTGGTTTGTGTGTGGTGGTGTTTACGGTGGAGTGGTAGAGGCCGGAGTGGTGGTGGTGGTGTTGGAGTGACTAGTGATGCTGGTGGAGCTTGCAGGGTGGTGAGGGCAGGACGTGCCTGGAATCTGAGAAGTATCAGATGAAGAGGTACAGGAGGGAGGGAGTGTGGGAGCTGCCCAGCCTACCTACCCCCCACACCACCCCCACACACAACACTCCTCTCACGGGAACATCATTTTCTATTCTGCAACACAGGAATTCATCATCAACCAGAACTATGTACCTACGCATGCACCATTTCTTTCAATTTTTATCATTTAACTTTCATTTCACTGCATCTCTCTCCCCCCACTGCCTTTTCCGTGGTGTAGAGATTGCATTTTCCGACGTCTCGGGGGTGTGTCGATTACGGTCTATGAAGACCCGGCCAAGGGATAGGAGACAGACTAATTGCGTACACACTGCTTGTGACACGTATCGGTGTGACCTTCTCACGGTAACCATTACGCTATGACCTTCGTATCGACCTTCACAATGCAACCCGTTCTCGCACTTTCGTATAGTCAATATTGACTTATTAAATACGTGCATATGTGACATACTAAACATACTAGTTTACCTTGAAAACCTTCATAGAAAACACCGACCTTACCTAACCTTCTTAGTATGTTAAGATAAGGATCTTATTGCTTCGTAATTACAATTATTACTTAACCTATACCTATAATACAATTATTACTTAACCTATTATAGATATAGGTTAAGTAAGAATTGTAATTACGAAGCAATAAGATGCTTATCTTAACATACTAAGAAGGTTAGGTAAGGTCGGTGTTTTCTATGAAGCTTTTCAAGGTAAACTAGTATGTTTAGTATGTCACATATGCACGTATTTAATAAGTCAATATTGACTGTAAGAAAGTGCGAGAACGGGTTGCACACTGTGACCAGGTCACTGTGACCTTCCCAGCCAAGTATGCGTCTTAATGTAACCCTTAAAGTTTAACAGTGCAACAGGTAAACGGTCATCAATACCCTGTCCTGTTATACACAAAATATTCAGCCATCAAATCCAAAGGCGACAAATTGTCTCAGCAACAGAGAACAAGTAAACGGAGCAACGAAGGAAGTTGACAAATTAACAGAGTTACCGTTCTCAAAACAGCAGCAACAGCTGAGGAATTGGGGGGGGGGGCTGAGCCAGAAGTGTCTCACCGTTGTCACCGTTGTGACCGTTATTACCGTTGTAACTGTTATTACCGTTGTGACCGTTATTACCGTTGTGACCGTTGTAACTGTTATTACCGTTGTGACCGTTATTACCGTTGTGACCGTTATTACCGTTGTGACCGTTGTAACTGATAATACCGCTGTGACCGTTATTACCGTTGTGACCGTTGTTACTGTTAATACCGTTGTGACCGTTGTTACTGTTAATACCGTTGTGGCCGTTATTACCGTTGTGACCGTTGTAACTGTTAATACCGTTGTGACCGTTGTAACTGTTAATACCGTTGTGACAGTTAATACCGTTGTGACTGTTAATACCGTTGTGACCGTTAATACCGTTGTCACCGTTAATTACCGCTGAGACCGTTAATTACCGTTATGCCCGTTAATTACCGTTGTGACCGTTAATTACCGTTATGACCGTTAATTACCATTGTGACCGTTAATACCGTTGTAACCGTTAATACCGTTGTGACCGTTAACTACCGTTGTGACCGTTAATTACCGTTATGACCGTTAATTACCGTTGTGACCGTTAATTACCGTTGTGACCGTTAATTACCGTTATGACCGTTAACTACCGTTGTCACCGTTAATACCGTTGCGGCGGTGGCAGTTGGAGCCACACCACCTTGGGAATTTTGAAGGGCTGCGCGGCATTCGCTTTGTCACCTCTCCAGCTTTGGCTCGCTGGGCCCTGTGGTATGTTATCTTGAGGTTATCTTGAGGTTATCTTGAGGTTATCTTGAGATGTTTAATGATGTTGAGTTACGGACAAGTTTCCCCGAATGGTGTGGCGTCGCGGGGGCTGGGGGGGGGGAGTAGGGACGGTATGATCGCTCGTGTGTAATTGATGGTAACCCTGCCTCCGTCTGTTGAACAGGTGTGTGTGTGTGTGTGTGTTGTGTGTTGTGTGTGTGTGTGTGTGTGTGTGTGTGTTGTGTGTGTGTGTGTGTTGTGTGTGTGTGTGTGTGTGTGTGTGTGTGTGTGTGTGTGTGTGTTGTGTGTGTGTGTGTGTGTATATATATATATATATATATATATATATATATATATATATATATATATATATATATATATATATAAATATATAATATAAATATATATAGTGTGTCGTAATTAGTGACACACTAATATATATATATTAGTGTGTGTCGTAATGCCTTGGTGCTTTATCCTGCTAGTTCCCTTCCTTTCTGTAACTCTTCTGAGTCTCAAGCTCCCACTCGTGTCGTCTTGTACTATTGTGTTTCATTGTGAGTATTTTATCTCTTTTTCCACTCTGTCAATCCCCCTAAGTCTCTTATTCGTCTCCATCAAGTCTTGCCCCTCTCTTTGTTTTCTAGCGTCGTCAGGTTTTGTGCCTTCAGTCTCTCTTTATACCCCCATCCCTCGCAGGTCTGGGACGAGTCTTATTGTAAACTTTTGAATCTTTTAGAGTTTCCTTACGTGTTTTCTTAGATGGGAGTGGTATGAGGGGGGGGGGGGGGCGGCTCCATGACGGGGCGGCATAGTCCCAGACTGGTCTCACGTAGGTGGTGTACAGCGCTCTAAATGCCTCCTTATTAAAGTTTCTGAATGGTGTTGTGGTTTTTGCTGCTGTAGCGTACGCTCCGGTTGTTTATATATATATATATATATATATATATATATATATATATATATATATATATATATATATATATATATATATATATATATATATGAGCCTCCGGAGTTAGGTTTGGTGTTATGTCCTCACCCCCAGGGGCCTTTTTCTCTAGTAATTATAGGGAGGTAGTTTCCCTTCATGGTGTCCTTTTGGTCGTCTGACAACTGTTCTCATGTCAGTCACCTTGTGTAGAGGGGGGGGGGGGGGGTCAGGAGGTGGTGTAGAGGGGAGGTGGTAGAGGGGAGGTGGTAGAGGGTAGTGTTGATGGGGCGCGACATGAGGTCGCGTAAAGGGGCAGGGTTTTTAGAGAGAAAACTGTAGCGTACAAGGGCGGTATAATCGCTGTGATCTGCCAAGGGAACTGGACCATGTAGAAGAATTCGTGTAATTAAAAAGGGCGGTGAAAATATGAGTTTCAGACAATTTGATTAACGCCCTCACGTTCTCTACTCTCACACGAACGCACGCACGCACGCACACACAGTGTGCGTGCGTGTGTAAGTCAACCACTGTACACTCAACCCCCGCAAACACAAATAGGTGAGTACACACACACACACACACACACACACACACACACACACACACACACACACACACACACACACACACACACACACACACACACTAAACTATACTAGCCCCTTCAGCTCAGGAAGGAGTACTTGTGGCATATGTCTGAACCTTTTCTAGTTTCTCCTGGTCCTGTTTAGGTAAAGGTTCCATGCTGGGGACGCTTGGGGACGTGTGGGTGTCTGGGCTTGTGCCCCCCCTCCTCGTCCTCAAGTGCCGCTCTCATACATTTGCGTGTTTAAATCGTTTCACGTAATTTATCTTTCATTTTGTTTTATGTCGTTCTTCTAAATGATGATAATAGTAATGTTACATGAGGATAACGCTGGTCGGGGCTCCCCCGGCCGTGCTGGTGGGAGCCATAACCTGTGTGTGTGTGTGTGTGTGTAATTACCTAAGTGTAGTTACAGGATGAGAGCTACGCTCGTGGTGTCCCGTCTTCCCAGCACTCTTTGTCATATAACGCTTTGAAACTACTGACGGTCTTGGCCTCCACCACCTTCTCACTTAACTTGTTCCAACCGTCTACCACTCTATACAGAGAAATCTGTGCCCTGTACTTGCAACCATTCCGACAGGCTCGAACGCAGGTCTATCTGGATTAAGAACATGTTCTATCCGACTAGGCCACGCTGGAGTTGCCACAGTGTGTGTGTGTGTGTGTGTGTGTGTGTGTGTGTGTGTGTGTGTGTGTGTGTGTGTGTGTGTGTGTGTGGTCCACCATCACACACCACTGAGAGCTGGTGTGTGATGGTGTGGTGGCCGCCGCCTCGTTCATTGATGCCGATCAGTGTAACTCATGCATATTGTTTTCAGGAGGTGGAAAATGACATTGGTGTAAAGCCTGTGGGTAAGTGTGAAAGAGGCAGGTGGAGTAGTGAGAGGAAGTAGAGCAGTGATGCTCCGGGAGGACACTGTTCCATCACATCCTCCCTTCTCTCCCGCCCACACAACCAGGCACACTTCCTCATCCTGTGATAACAACACTCAGATAATTATGTTTTGGTGATCGTCGCGCGTCAGTGTGAGGTTGGTGCTGTGTGGTGAAGGTGTGCGTGAGGCGGCCTGGCAGGCAAGTATGGCCACACACCACGACAAAGTTTAACATTGCCTGTCGCCACTGTCGACACTCCTTCTCCAACTTTTGGCTGAAGTAAAAAGAGACTTTATAAAAAATAAACATTTCGCAGGCTGAAATCTGGTTAAGAGAACTATTCGTGTGCACCAGTTAGCAAAGGACTCCGGTACATATTACTCTTGAAGCCGTCGCCTTGGAGTGTTTAAGGACGAAGGAAGTATAGAGGAAAGGAATCATCTTTATCAGTTCGAAGGATACATCTTCAGGTGGATTGATACGGTTGGTGTTGTGGGAGTGTGTGGGGGGCTGTGGGTGGTGGGGGTCCTCCCCACACCAGGCGGTGTTGCGTCACTCACTCAACACTCATCTTGACCAACACAGTGTTGGTCAGGTGGCCAGCAGCAAGGAGACCTTTCCATCAGGCTGTCACACTCTACGACTGAGTATAAGACCGTCACACTCTACTTGTATTCGTGTTGCTGTAAACATCTAATTCCCCAACATTCTAAACATTAGCGCTGGAAACGGAACTCGAGTTTGCTTACACGACTAGAATGGTTACCGCTGAGTGTGTTCCGTTAACATGACACCGTTGAGAGTGTAGCGAGTGGTGGTGCCGTAGCCGCGGCTGCGGGCGTGTGTGTGTATAGCAACAGTCAATGACTGGAGGAGGACCCGCGGCCACAACCTCACCACCATTTCCCTCGTGCTCAAGTATCGTGCGGCCACCATGAGTCACGGAGAGTCGTGCGCGGGCGTGACGGGCGCGGGCGGCGGCGGCGCGGGCGCCCACAAGAAACTGCGGCGCAAGAGAAAGGAACTGGACGCCCTCGTGCCCGAGGATAAGGTCCGCCGCAAGTCGTCCTCCGCCTCCCATCACGACCTCCTGCGCTCGGACTCGGAAGACCCCGAGGCGGACTTCTCGGGCGTGGCCGTGCTGGGCAAGCGGATGTTGGGCGGCGGCCATCAGGGAGGACTGTGGGCGTGCCTGCCAGGGGCGTGCACGCTGCTGCTGCTGCTGACAACCCTGGTGGGCGTGGCGGCCGCCCTCAGGCTCCTCATGCTCACACGCCGAGACCTCGACTCCCTCCACTCCAGGATCAATTCAGGTAACTCACACACACCCCAGTGTTCCTGGTCACTCATAACACCCCAGTGTTCCTGGTCACTCATAACACCCCAGTGTTCCTGGTCACTCATAACACCCCAGTGTTCCTGGTCACTCATAACACCCCAGTGTTCCTGGTCACTCATAACACCCCAGTGTTCCTGGTCACTCATAACACCCCAGTGTTCCTGGTCACTCATAACACCCCAGTGTTCCTGGTCACTCATAACACCCCAGTGTTCCTGGTTACTCATAACACCCCAGTGTTCCTGGTCACTCATAACACCCCAGTGTTCCTGGTCACTCATAATATGTATCTCGCCTCAACTCTCAGTTTCAGAGACTCCCACGGGAGGTGCCAGGACAACGATTCCCTCAAATACTTACGAAACCTGTACATCTCTCCTCAATCATGGCGGCTTTGTTTACGGTTATTAAGCAGTTCGTGAGCTCCGAAGGCACTATGAGGTTGTTTGTAACAATAATAAACCATGAGTTGTGAAGTTTTGGAACTCGTAAACTCTTTATAAATGTAAACAAAAGTGCCATGTTTAAGGAAGAATGTTGAGGGTTCGTAAACTCTTTGAGTAAGTCTGCCTCACACCCTCCTGGCTCCCTCACACCCTCCTGGCTCCCTCACACCCTCTTGGCTCCCTCACACCCTCCTGGCTCCCTCACACCCTCCTGGCTCCCTCACACCCTCTTGGCTCCCTCACACCCTCCTGGCTCCCTCACACCCTCCTGGCTCCCTCACACCCTCCTGGCTCCCTCACACCCTCCTGGCTCCCTCACACCCTCCTGGCTCCCTCACACCCTCCTGGGTCCCTCACACCCTCCTGGCTCCCTCACACCCTCCTGGCTCCCTCACACCCTCCTGGCTCCCTCACACCCTCCTGGCTCCCTCACACCCTCCTCCTGGCTCCCTCACACCCTCCTGGCTCCCTCACACCTTCCCTCAGGTCCCTGAAGTGCATATCATGCTCCAGATTTTCCAAGGAGCGTTTATCATGATAAACGCTCCATGTTCCAGGTATTCCATGGAGCGTTAATCACGTTCCAGGTATTCCATGCCGTGTTCATCATGTTCCAGGTATTCCATGTAATGTTTATCATGCTCCAGGTGTTCCATAATGTGTTCATCATGCTCTAGGTAACAGCAAATATAGTTAATGGCAGGTGAGGGAGATGCTCACAATATGTGGCTCTGCTAGCAGGTAATGTTTCCCTTCTGAAGGCTCGTGTCCGGCCTACATGGCCACCATGGCCAGCATGGCCACCATGGCCACCATGGCCAGCATGGCCACCATGGCCACCATGGCCACACATGATCCGGCAACTCCTCATCTTAGCAAGAACTGTTGTCGACCAGAGGACGTTGCATGTGACATATTAATCCTCGTAACGTGAGAACTATCTTGGCTATAGTGAAGGTGAAGTCTGCAGACTCCTCAGGCGTCCTGCTGCTAATGACTATTGACCTCGATAAATTAGGGGATATATCTTAAGATCTTTCGCCTATGGTTAGGTCAAAGTGCTTGGATATAGTCACTTGTCAGCGGCTGAGCAGGTGTTGCTGGTGTGTGTGGCGCGAGGAGTGCCAAGGTTGGTGATGTAGGTAGTCGGAGTGTCTTATGGGTGTTTTATATTAACACGAGAGAGTAGGCAACATGTTCGAACCATCCAACACGTCATGGGGGTGTCTCTGTGTGGGTGCTCCCTACACCAGACACACCACCTGGCCAGGTGTAGGCCAACCACCTGCCCAGGTGTAGGCCAACCACTTGGCCAGGTGTAGGCCAACCACTTGGCCAGGTGTAGGCCAACCACCTGCCCAGGTGTAGGCCAACCACCTGCCCCAGGTGTAGGCCAACCACCTGCCCAGGTGTAGGCCAAGCACCTGGCCAGGTGTAGGCCAACCACCTGCCCCAGGTGTAGGCCAACCACCTGCCCAGGTGTAGGCCAAGCACCTGGCCAGGTGTAGGCCAACCACCTGCCCCAGGTGTAGGCCAACCACCTGCCCAGGTGTAGGCCAACCACCTGCCCAGGTGTAGGCCAACCACCTGCCCAGGTGTAGGCCAACCACCTGCCCCAGGTGTAGGCCAACCACACAACAGCTTGGCACCTCTTCCTCGGACCTCTAACTACACCCAGGGCTGAGGCACTAAGCATCAGTTTTCACTATTCTGGTACTTCTTAGGCGGCGAGGTAGTTGAATGTGGCATGACGAATCCGTAGAGTTTCTTTGTTAAATTACAATTATTCCCTCTCTTAGCTTTTTTGACACACTGTACTCCACTTCATATAGTCTAGGGTAGCTGCACTAATGCAGATGTACCTCATATCTTAATAAAAAAATCCCTCTCTCTGCAGTTCACTGAACTGTTATATTGAAGTTCCACACTCCAAATCTTGCTTATTAAGATAATGGCACAATGTAGTCACCGTTAATCACTGCAAAACACGATACACCGTATATTACTGTAATTCAGTCACATGTCTCCACCGTACCACGTACCTAACAGTTGCACACGTCCAGAGTTCCTCAGTAAGACCCACTACTATGTGGCGAGTTCTTCAAGAGCAATGGTACCAATATTTCATATAAAGTCACTATATAATGATCATCATAACACTAAATTTCACAGTCATTTAGATCCGGCCACGACCTGACGATTAGTTAATTTAAGCCACCACACGACCTCACAGTCTTTAATGGGGTCATATCACAACCTCAGTTCGTAATCAGATCACTTCTATTATCTTAGAGGCCTTAATCAGGTCATTTCAGGGATAATCACGTTAACCTCAATCAATACATAAAATCTTCATATCTTGATGTCATTTGGCGAAGTAGTCACCTAGGTGATTGGCGAAGACATGTCCCTCCTCCTGAACTTGAACCTCAGCTTCCAAAATGGATTTTGTAGTGAAGTCATTATTGGAATATCGTCCCCATGCCAATATGGCTGTTCGATGGTGTTTTTCCGACCTTCCAGTCCCTCGTCTGGCGTCCGTGGCGACTGAGAATACTCAACCCATTCTTTTCCCTATAGCTGGGCTGTGTGTCCCCCTCACAGCTCCTGTGTTATTACCCTTACATTATCACCCTTTATATTCCTCCCACACATCTTTCTTTTGCTTTCATATATATATATATATATATATATATATATATATATATATATATATATATATATATATATATATAATAATAATAATATTATTTACCCAATAGGCAGAATGATTTGCGTTACTTTCAAATTTTTTTTTCCAATTGGTTTATTTTAATGAATATTATTATATTATATTAAGAACATGAATTACTGACTTAGTTATGTTAGTTTAGGATTGGTTATGATAGGTCAGGCGAATATGATCCTATTTCTGTGTTTTAACTCAAATTAAAAACAAAATTAATCAAATATAATGAAAAGCTTTATCATTCCATAAGAAACAAATGTAGAAAAATACGTAACTTTAGATAAATTTTGCTTATTAGGCAAACCGAGCCTTGCATACTTGACCAAGTAGCGCATTCTGGCTATTAGGTACAACATATATATATATATATATATATATATATATATATATATATATATATATATATTTTTTTTTTTTTAATTTCGAAAGTAAGTGACACAAGGTCATAGGCTAGGACACGAAATTTAATATTTTATGCTAAAAAAATTGTTCATCACTTATTCATTGAACAGCTGCTCTATTGTGATTCACAAAGTTCACCAAGTTCATAATTAAAATGTGTTTCTTAGTTTATGCTTGCAAAATATTTTACCTTTTATGAGAGAAACTCAAGTTTGAAGGTTGAAAACTTAATATTGTATAAATATGTCAGTTTTGGCGGGAAGAATATTACTGACATTTATCTCGCTCTGTTGTTTATACCATGCTGTCTGCTTTTGTGATGAGCTGTCTGCTGTAGTTATGAGGGGTCTGCTGTAGTTATGAGGGGTCTGCTGTAGTCATGAGCTGTCTGCTGTAGTTATGAGGGGTCTGCTGTAGTCATGAGCTGTCTGCTGTAGTTATGAGGGGTCTGCTGTAGTCATGAGCTGTCTGCTGTAGTTATGAGGGGTCTGTTGTAGTCATGAGCTGTCTGGTGTTGTGATGAGCTGTCTGCTGTAGTCATGAGCTGTCTGCTGTAGCCATGAGCTGTCTGCTGTAGTCATGAGCTGTCTGCTGTAGCCATGAGTTGTCTCCCATTGTGATGAGCTGTTTGGTGTTGTGATGAATCAGCCACTGTTGTAATATCACACAACCACCACGACTGTAACAACCACAACCCCCCCTCCTCCAATGTTTGGAGGGGGGTTTGGGGTGGATGAGGTGGGGGTGAGGATGATGTAGGGGGGGGGGGGGCTAGGCAAGGACGCAACATCATCCTGGGGCTCGGCTTCATTCATTTTGGCATCTACCCCAAAGTGGGTTTGGGTCCGAGGGTGCTCTCTGCATCGCTGAGTGGCTGACTGGCTGGCTGGCTGGCTGGCTGGCTGGCTGGCTGGCTGACTGGCTGGCTGACTGGCTGACTGGCTGACTGGCTGGCTGGCGATGACTGACTAGGTGGTTGGCTGGCTTACTGAAAGGCGCACTGGGAAAATATATATATATATATATATATATATATATATATATATATATATATATATATATATATATATATATATATATATATATAATATATATATATATATATATATATATATATATATATATATATATATATATATATATATATATATAATATTTATGACCGATGTTCCTTTCGGGAATCTTAATTTTAAGATGAATAGGAAAACCAGGGTTATACTGAACATCTTGTTTCAGAATCTTTACTTTAAAATGCATAACGTTTCGAATACTTCTCGTATTCATCATCAGATCTAAAAGAAAAAACAGAAATCCCAATCAAATAACTGGTAAACAAAGAACTCATACTGAATATAATTGCTTATCAAAGAAAGGAAAATGCTTAAAAAACAAAACACT